AGGATTGTAATACTAAGTAAATTTGTTGAAGAAACCTTGGCTCTGAAATCAATTTGCAGTTTGCCAAATTGCAAAAATAGGTTTCTTAGCATTTTGCTGTAGTGTCGTAAAAAAGTGCTTAAATTTTGTATAAAAATACGCTACAAATTTTTTCTTGTATGAGGAATTAATTTCTGTACTTATCTTCTTCTTAAAACTTCTGCCAGAGGGCGCAACAGTGAAGCTTTTCACTTCTTCTTCGAAACCTTTTTTTCGCAATTTGGTAGACTCCAAATTGGTTTTAGACCCATGGTTTCTTCGGCAAATTTTCCTATGCTATACGTGCATAGTAAAAAAAAAATAAATTGGCCCGCCCTAATGTACATATGTATGTATGTTTATCAATCTTCTATGTATGTATAGTGTCTATTATATTCGAATTTAAGTTTCACCACATGCTCCCCCAGCACTTTGTTCATTTATCTATCTTACTTTATTCATCTTCTGTACTTTGAGCTTTTTCTGTCCATACCAAACTTTATAAAATACGAATAGTTCAAGCATGTTGCCGCCGACCGAGTACCCGCCTGTAATGTGACCCTCATTGTAATTTAAGATTGCTTGTCAGCGCCATGCTGCTCAAACAAACGATTATAATGATTAACGAAGTAGAAGAAATTTGTTAGAAGAAATTGAAAGTTTCTCTGGCTCATCTGCTGTCGTCTCACAAGACAGTGTCTTGGGTTTCGGCGGAGCAAGCAAGCAAGTGTTAATGAAAATTGTTTTTGTAGGGCTTTTAAAATGTGGTTGGTGTAAGCAGTAATCGATAATACAATGTGCGTGGCATGTGTGTATGTGTTAGTAATAATAACGGTTGAGTGGTCAAAGTGTATCAGCAGCCGTTAAAGTAAAATACATTACTTGGCATAAAGGGGGAAGCAAAAATAAACAAAAAAGAAAAAGGTAATGAAAGTTTAAATTAAATGATAAACAGTTTTTAGTGTCGGCGTGCTGATATGAACTACTAAAATTAATTGTGGAAATACAGTGTAAACCATGGGCGTAGCCAGGTAGGCAGGGCAGGGCGGTGCTCGAGGCCCCCCTAACTTTCAAATTTTCCTTATATATATATAAAATAGTACCCTGAAATGCCAGCTTAATAGGGTCGAGCCCCCCCTAAATTTCATTATGGCTACGCCGATGGTGTAAACTATGTCAAAATTTCTAAATAAATGTGTACAAGCGTTGGTGTGCGAAACGTCTGCAACTCACGAGCAACCCAACTCAAAGCTATCCGCCATTTATGTGAACCCTATCAAATATTTATAGTATTCCCTAACAGCTCGCAAACCGGTCACTTAAGCTCAAGCGCTGGTTAGCAATTTTGACTGTTTGCTCCTCTACTAACCTCTAACACTTAAATAAATACAAAAACACAAAATGAAAAAGAAAAAAACACAACAGCCCAGTAGAATATGCGCAGGCTACTCGAGCCCACAGCACTAAACTGTCGCGCCACAAAAAATCTCAGCGGCGACAAATTGTTTTCTCTATTTTGTTAACTTTTTTCTATTTGCTTGTTTTCCCCTTTTTTTGCTAGTTTTTTTTTCGTATTTACCAATCCTCCAAAGTGGCGTTAAAAGTTGTGGCAGAGAGAGTTAACATTGCACTTTGGTGTGGGTGGGCTCGAAGGGCGCTTTTGGATAAACTTTACCGACTTTTAGTGCGCGTGGACAATCCTTTTTATGCACATTTCGCTTTCTTCCCTTTCTAGTGAGTGTCAATGATTTTTCATGTGGCATTAAAGTGGTTAATATTGTTGTAGAGCTCATTTGTACAATGTCGTGCATAAAAAATGGTTATAGAAAGCGATAGTAAGTATGTAATAAAAGTGCAGAATTATTGTTTTATTTGTTGTTATGCTATTTTTAACTGTCTCTTTTGCGGAAAGAGCTACCTGAGAAAAATAAAATGTTTGCTACTTTTTCTACTTTACCTTCTTTTCGCTCCTTCTTGCCCTGGGAGTATATACATACATAAATACTGGGTATAATATTGCAAAGCTTACAACTGTTTTTCTTTCCTATTTTCCGTGTCCAACTCCTTTATGCTACTTTGTTGACGTTTCTATAAAATAAATATTTTATAACAATTTGAAAGGAAAATATTGAAAAATTTATTGTATTGCGTTCGTTGAAGTCATTGCAAATATTTTGAGGAAAGACTGAAGATACATACCATTTAAATTTATTATGAACTCTTCTCTTAAGTTCGATGCACAGGCGTTGCTGCTTAAATTACACAATGAGATATGCTACATACATTCCAAATAATACTGGCATACTCCATTATTAAATACAAAATTGCTGCCAACATAAAGTGTATTGTCAGCTACTGTTCCCTTTTCTTCATTAGATGACAAACCTTTGGCACTGCCTTTCCCGCGGGCAAAACACTTTTAAGCTTTCTATACATTTTGTATAGGCGCCTGCAGAGTAAAAGCTCTCTCTGCCCATCGCTGGTCATGACTGATCGAATGCAATTATATGCAGAGAGAGCTTTCACAGGCGCCAGGTTAATATAAAATACATAGAAAGCTCAAAAAATCTCTGCACGCGGATAAGCAAAAGAAGCCTTGTAGATTTTATGTTGACCGCAGAAGAAATAACTTTAAATTTAAATACCAGATTCTAAGATATTCTTGTGAGAGAACAGCACAAGCTGGATTATTTTTTTTTTTGTCAAAACAATTTCGATACTTTTAATACCGTTGCTTTACATATAATAAAAAAATGTTGTCTTATAGACATACAGACTATATGTATATAATGTATACACCAACACCATGAGCATATTTAACCGCATAAAAATCTAGCGGTTTCGCTGGCTGCGGTGAAAAGATCCTTCGATTTCGCCCCCATGAGTTGACAACGAAAGCAAGGACCTATCTGCTCTAGGGATGAGCAACTGATGCAAATTTGCACGGGAAAGAGGCTATTGGAGATGCTTTTTGGTCTCGGCCCAAATCGACAAACGGCTGTAGTGCATTTTCCACGAAGAAGACCAACTGCTAAACGAAAAATCGTTCACACCGTATATTAGCCGACGATACAGTCTGACATCTTGGCGAACGAAATTCCCTAGTTAAACGCACTAGAAAGTGACAATCTTTAGTCGTTGCTGGGATAATTGCAAAAGGTAATTCATTTGTATGGGGACCAATCAGTAAAAGGGCTCTGCACGTAAGCTTAATTCCAAATAAAACCCAACCTGGCTTTGATAAAATATAACTCCCTCCCCAGTACTGTAGCTAAGTGCCTCCAGGGGTATGCTTCATGCGATTTTTAGATTATTCGGCAGATGCCGGCACACAAACAAACTTTCACATTTATAATATGTATTAAATAATAGGATAATAGACGTTCATTTTTTACTTCATATCCCGGTGAGATGGGAGAAGCAAAACAAGTGCTATAACACTGGCCTCGGAAAATTAAGTATAAATCTCGGAGAAGCTCATTTCGTATGGAATTAGTCCAAGGTTATGTGGGATCGTTTATGCGACTGGAAGGCGTTAAATGAAACAGCCTGTATAATTGCATCATGATTTGCTTAGTCTGGTTTCAATGAGCTACTTCAGATAGTTCGCTAAACCAGCGCCCAAAAAATTAAACTAACTTAAGAAGAGGAGAGGATGGGATAGCGAAGGGTTGCGTGTAAGGGAAAAGGGGAAAATAAAACATGTTTCTTGGATGAGGTGATGCCGGCCTTTGTGTTTTGAAGGAAATCAAGCGGTCGGTGGACGCACCATCCCCATTAAGTGCCCGGTCAATTCAGGCGCGTGCCCTCAAATCGTAGTCCCTTTACGTCAGCAATAACTAGTCGACATCAATATAGCCTGGTGTCATCCAAACCTTTTTTCACTGAAAACACTCTTTTTTACGTGTCGAGTGCCAAGCATAGCGCACAACTTTTTGCTGGAGGTTTGCCTTCTCACAATTAACTCGCTTCCTAACGGGTGTTTGGTTTCTATCCAGAGGATATTTACGGCGACAATGCTCGGTTATATAATTATGTGTCGATCCAAGTTGCAACACTAGTTCTCAACTTTCTTCTTTCTTCTCTCCTTCCATAACAAAACACGCATAAATCACATTCTTACAAGTTAAAATTAGGGTAAAAACATGTTAAAAAATTTACGAAGCGAAATGCTGGCAAGAGGAAGAGGGTACGAAGACTCGAAGAAAAAAAAGAGGGTAACAATCTTTTGTCAGCAACTGAAGCAGCACCCATTGTTAATAGCCTGAGGGCGCTTCGACAACGTTAACAACGTCACATGCAAAGTGGCCAGACTTTGCGGTCGAAATGCGGGCTAAAGCCAACGAAAAAATAGCGCATTCAAATGTGAAGCGTTCGTGGTGTAACAAAACAAGGAGACACTTAAGCACCGTTTATGCGTTAAACGAACAAAAAATGACATACTTCAGCTGATATATATGTATATCAAATTCAAAATTGTGGCGAGTCAACAGAACGTCATGATGCGTCAGAGTGTCAGTCAGTCAGACAACAAAAGCTAACGCAACATAAATATCTCAAACATATCTTCAAACTCTTAAACGCCAACTAAGTGCGAGTACACTGACTCGCAGATAATACGAAAGAAGATCTAATAATAATAAAATCTCAGCGTATTTTTCTACAAAAAAAAGGAAAAAACGTGTGCATGTTAAGGTGGTTCAAAAAAAAGAAAAGTCGTAATTTTAATGACCTCATCCGCTAGGATTGTTATATACCGAAAAAATATACCTCAAATTTTTATTTTGAAATCAAAAAATGTATTTAGAGGTCACTCAAGGCGCTCAAAGTTTTCCATGTATTTTTGTATGGGGAAAAAACCACGTTTCGTATAAATGGTATAGAATTCTTGAAAGTCAATATTTTTCTATCGGAAAACTCTGGTTCTCTTTAGGAGACTTCCAATAATAATACGCAATTATTTATTTAACCCTTTTTTAATATTAAAGATTTTTCATTGGTCCCACCATAGCATTTGCTGGGGGTTTTGTCGTTTTTGGCGTACCTATAAAATAAAGTTACTATACAAAAATGGCTAAATATAGAAATGGGTATTATTATTGGGAATATCCAGAAGAAAACCAGAGTTTTACTGATCGAAAAATATTGATTTTCAAGAATTCTCTACCATTTCTACGAAAAGTAGAGTTTTTCCCCTATAAAATACATGGAGAATTGCGCTTTGAGCGATTTCTAAATATTTTTTGATTTAAAAATATAAAAATTGGGGTATATTTTTTACGGTATAGAACAATCCTAGGGGAAGAGAGCATAAAAATTCCGAATTAATTTGTTATGCATTTTTGGACCACCCTAATGTATATGCATGCACTTGTTTGAGTATAACTTGCAAAGAAACTTATAACCTTGTAACTTGTCTGCTACAACACGAATTCTTCAAATTTCTACATCTCACGCGAGGTCATTTTTTTTGCTTTTAATTTTTTCCTTGTATTCCTAAAGCTTTTTGTCTTGAAAGCCATTGTTTTGCTGCATTTAAAATTACCACACGAAACACATTCCTTCAAATACTCACAAACACACACAGACACAAAGTAAGTGAATAAAAACAAATGGCTACAACTTTGTTATCCTTATTCCATACACTCAAACATACATATGTACATACATATGTACATTCATATTCGCTCCCCTCTAATTGCTCTCTGGTAGCAGCATTTATGATTATTAGCCCGGACATGCTTGAAGGAGTGGCTTTCTGATTGTTTATAACCCGAACATTTTCATTGTAAAAGCCAATGTTCCATTTGTTGGTTGGGGTGGGGTGGTGGTATGGCATGTGATGTGGGTCGGTGTTTTATAGTTTCCTTATGAACAATTTACATTAAAAAAAAAAATAGCAACAAAACTTTAGTACTACGCTTTCACACTATAGCTGTGTAAAATGTTTTTTTTTTTTGTGGTGCGAGAAAAGCTCTCGCCATTGCATGGATGCGGAAGTACTACTTGCGATATGTAACATTTGTTGTAACACGAAATTAAACATGATGATTATGGTTGGAATGTGTGTGTTTTAACTTTTTATTAGCAAACACGAAAATGAAACAACAATGAAGTGATTTGCGCGGAAAATGAAGTGTTGATAATATGTTGTGTGTTTTACTCAGCGTTCAGTAGAATACAGTTGTGCTACATCTGTATAAATACATACATATGTACATTAGACTGCATCACTCCTCATACAAAAAAAAAATCGGTACTGTGTTTCCTTTGGAATTATAAAATCTATTATATTTTAAGACTTCCACCGAAATATTTCGGAAAAATATTAACATTTACGTGAGCTGGACCGATTTGAAAATACTTCCAAAAATGGAGTTTTTATGAATAAAAATAGTTTCTTAAAGATTTTTTTGAAAAAATCCCCTCTTCCGTCTCTAAAGCATTTACAGAAATCGTGTTACAAGGCCGTGTTTCTAATAGTCCAGTATAACGTTTGTGTTCCGCAGTAGCAGCCGTCAGTAGTAGCTCATTTATCTCTTCAATTTATGAGAATAGGAGTCGTTAGAGACTTTGATCCTTTTCTCCTATGCACGCCACAGATCACGCAAATCGAGCTAGTCTTCATAGATCGGAAAAGGTCTTCCAAGGATGGCAACTTTACTGTCCATAAAAAGGCGAGTTTTCATGGGGCCCGGTCAATCATGCTTAGCCGTTAATATGCTGTTCCAACAATAAAGTTCGATTTTGTCTTTTACACAACGCTTGAAAGGATGTATTTAACTAAGGGGACGGGTTGGTTCGAGAGTAGCACTATTTTGTAAGGCTCTTAAATGACAACAGTGGATCGTATACTCTGTGAGTTTGGCTGGAGAAAACTTACATTGCTGGGTGAGGCTCAATTACACTGCAGTCGAGAATTGTTCAGAGACCAAAAAGCTTACCACTCTTCGACAAAGGGGCATAATTCCATGCGAGGGCAAGTGGCTGCAGCACTGGATATTGAAAGAGAAAATAGTGAATCGACTCCTCTTTTTTCCTCATCCTGACAAATTTTGCATAGAAAATTTGTTGGTATACGCCATCATTGGTGCATTGCTGCAATTCCACAGAGGCCTGTGCGAATCTTAACCGCGGATGTGTTTAACGTAAAAAGTTCTTCAGGTCGTTTCTTCTTACGGTTAGGAACAAAGACCTTGAGACTTAATAGTATAGGTCATTTGTTACGGCTATGGTAGCTCGTACAAATTCCTTAGAAATTCACAAATAGATAGTTAATCGAACGGTATCTAGGCAACTCATAGGCTATTTCGCTCTCCTTGATGTTGCTGGGTCCTCAGTGATGCTGGCAATACATTCCCACCCAATTCTTTACTTCACTACCTTCGATACGAATTCTTTCATTGCGCCTTGGCTGCAAAGGAATGCAGTGCCTTTTCGTGAAAAGGACTTACTATTCCATAGTAGACAATGTAAAGATATCGGCTTGAAAGGCACTGCAGCCATCCGGCCGTCCGAATAAAGAATATCGCTAACGTGTTTATCCATCTCTGAACAATCGGTGTAGAGCAGAGATGGACAAAGTGGCTCCCAAGAGCCTTTTGCGCTTAGGAGTCGACTTGGCACATTTAGGTGCTAGATGGGGGGTAACATCAAGAGCCAGAATGAAGGGAGAAAAAGAGCATATTAAAATTTATCATACTTCGACTCTCATTACTTATATATGTACATATATGAAGCTTTTAATGTGTTTTTACTTACCAAAAATATGCCCATCCCTAGTGAAGAGGGCAAAGCTATAATTCTCCGCCGGGCAGCTAGATTCCTCTTTTTTTCTTGTTGGAAATAGCGGAAGTCCCAGAATGACGTAATGAGAACATCTCTGGCATCTGAGTCAAAATTGATCCTGCTAACCCGTCCTCTTTTAAGTTAACTCAGTTTTGATGCGAGGGCTAGTTTTGCGACTGCTCGATTTATGAAAACTTGTTGCAGACTTAAGGCAAGGATCATACATAGTCAAACCCTGGACGGCCACTGCACCCTTTGGATTACTTTTTTCTGATTGCTGCTTTTATTCAAACCAGACCAAAGCTTTGATAATAATGGTTGTACTGCCTTCAGTTTTCTCTCTCTTCGACCTTACTTAGCTTGGAGTCAAGGATACATAAATTAATTGCACTAGATTCAAAACTTTTACTTACTACAACGAATAAACCAAATTATTCATTTAACACTTTAGGCTACTTGAAAAGCAGAAAAATAAAAGCTTAAGTAAAATCTGCTTTTGCTTTATGCAGCAACTTAATTACTATAGCACGCTAAGCGTCAAATGCTTAATAATAGACCACGATCCAATAACAAATGCAACCACGCCCATCTCCCTAAACAGCTGGTACATAAATATGAGTACTATGTAGAAGAATTTGTGGTGGCTTAGCTTTTGCTTAGCGTAGAATATAATTCGATTTACTCTCTTTTCTTGTTCGTTTTTGTTCTTCTTTCATGTTGCGGGTGTAAAATGGGCTCATTAGGTGCATATTTTGTTTTTCTTCTTCTTAGTTATAGTTTAAGTTTAGGTGTTTTTTTTTTGTACTGTTTCTGATTATGTCTGTTGCCTGAAGCACGCAAGGAAAGTCAAAAGGCGCTTAATGTGTTGAATCCAATTAAAAGTTGTATGTACTCATAGTTGCGCTATCGTTGGCGTCTTTGGCTAGTTATTGGGTTGTCGGGCCAGACGCTGCTGCACAAGCTTAGTGAGTTTAAGCCACCAGGCGGAAAAGAAAAATAAATAGACGTAAAAGTAAGTTTTTTAAAATAGTAAGTAGCTTGGTTACAGTGGATCTTTGCTGTGCAAATTTGGGTTAAAAGTTTTTCAGATTATAAGTTACTACGACAATTCTGGAAGACATACCTGCGGAGTTCAAGGGCCTTGGAGCAGCTTGATGGTCACTGCAGATTCTTATTTTGTGTCCGCTACCTTAAATAATGAAAGACCTTCAGCTTCTAGCTAGTGTCAGTTCCATTTCCGGTCTTTAAACTATCTATATAGAGAGTTTTTAGGAACTCCTTAACTCCCTCTGAGTTTGACAATTTTTTATTTGTAAGAAAGCCGATGACGACCTTCTTTCAAAAGAATATTTCGGATAAAAGGTTTGAAGAATGCAGTCCACATATTCTCTTCATAGCTTGTTCTAGGATAATAAGATCTGGTGGAAGAAATCCTACAAACCTATAAGCTCCTGTGAAGTCTGCTTTACGTAGAAACCTTGGTTTTCAGCACCATTGTACCCCACTATACTACAGAAGAATGTGGCGTGTTTTCCAATGGTACTTAGTCGATTTTAGTCCCAAAGTCTTACAAAAGCTTCACCTGTACTGCCCGAAATTTTTATGACTCAATTTAGATTTCAGCCACATCCACTTCATATCCAGACTAACGGCTAGGTGTTTCAATTCAGTGGAGTGGATCCATCGACGCCATGCTTCCTTAACATCAGCAAAGACTTCACTGCTTTCAGTCTCATTTCGATCTTCGTTACCATTACCATTATTTTTATATTGCCCTTACCACTATCATTATCATTACCATCACCTTTATCATTACCATTACCATTACGAATAAGATTCCCATTACCACTAAAATGGTCATAGCCATTTTCAGTGACATTGCCATTACCATTGTCGTCACCATTACCATTATCACTACCATTACCATTACAACTACCAGTACTACTAACATAACCATTGCCTTTACCATTACCAGTACCATTATCAATAACATTACCATTAAAATTTCCATCACCATTACCACTACCAATACCATTACTTCATTCATTGCCATTGGTATTGCCATAAGCATTGCTATTACCATTACCTTTGCAAACATCATTTTCAATAAAGCACCATTACGATTTCCGTGGAATTACCATTACGATAACTATAGCATTACCATTACGATTACTATAGCATTACCATTACAATAATAATGTCATCACTGTCCCATTAACATTATCATTACCATTATCACAACCATTATAAGATTGCTATAACAAACTTCTCTTGCGCTTCTTCGTTAAAAAACTTAGTTACAACCAATTTGAGTCCGCAACCGTTCACTGTGATACGTGCTATTGAAGTAGTGAATTCTTTGTGGTCAAGTTGGTGCAATGCCTAGAAACTAAAATCAATAAAGCACCAATAAAACAACTAACAAACTTACGCCAACTAAATTGCCAGCCCCCACTCACCTCTCTGCCCGAGAACGCACACGACTTTATCAGTTCCAGTGCACTTCCTGCTTGTGCGCTACAGCTTTGTAGTCTTCCTCGCCGCTTACGTTTTAATTAATGACAATGAAACACGCAAACTGTGGCTGTGAGGTCGAACTATGTATGCATGTGTGTCAGATTTGAAAATTAAGTTCGCAGTTCGAAGCGTCCAAGAACCTCAGACCTCTTCTTACTCGCCTGCGCGCACTGCGTTGAACTGCAAGCGACTTTTTCGCTTCTCTAACTATCCAATGCTCTCATCTACGTAAGTATGTATATTTTTTTAGTTAGTTGGTTTTTGTATGCCGTTACAAAAGTTTGTTAGTTCATGCGGTTTTGGAAAAAGTAGAAAATAATGTGAATTACTTAAATGGACTTAAGCTTATGCTGAACTGCTGCAACACTCATACTCGGTGGTTGGGTAAGGTTGTATTGCTCGAAGGGCAGGAATTCACATCGAAACCATAGAACACACAACACGAAAGGTACACTACAGGTGTACCTAGCTCATATACATATGTTCCGGGTGTAAAACGGTAAAGCTCGTTTTGCGAAAAGTCAAGTCCACACTCCTCATGCGGTCAATGGCTGTTGGCTGTTGGCTGTTTTCGTTGCGGTTGGGTGGAGGCAGGTACTCTCAACTGAACCACACTGTGATCGAAATTGCGTGCGTATAAGTACATACGTACGTACGTACGTACATACATAAGCCTGCACAAACTAATGTGCGCCAAAATACGGTAAGTAAATATTGTTTACGTACAACGTACCTGCGTAACGTGGCGTGGCGGAAGGGTCCTAAGACTTAAGCGTCTAACAAATCTTTAGTAATTAATCAATTTGTGGGGAAACGCTATGCAATTTTTTAGCTAGGCATCCACACACCTAACCTAGGGTGGTCCATGAAAATATCAACATTCTGGTGGTGCCACTGTTCTAGGTACAAAAAAAAAAACACGAACATTTAAAAGTGTTTTAAAAAATTTTAGGGGTCGCTACCGAAGTTTGGAAACATTTTTTTTTTTTTTTTAATCGCAAAAATTCCACAAATCTTTGACTTTAACCAGCTATAACCCAGCGAGACTATGAATTTATATGAATAAGTTTCAATAATGTGAAAAATTTACAAGATTTCAAGTAAAAATTTGTCGTTTTTTTTGATAAAAAGATTCGATTTTTTAATACCTTAAAAGTTTTTTTAAAATGTAAAAATTTTCGTGTGTGTTTTTATTTTATACGTAGAACAGAATAAGGAGCTGACCCATTTTAAATGTTGATATTTTTAAGTACCACCCTAATGCATACTCACCTGCTACCAGCAACTCGCATACTAATTCCACTTTAGTTTTAAGTCGCAAATTAATTTCAACTAAAGCACACCATTGTTTACATTTTCTTTTCATTGCAGCTACCCAACTTATTTAACATACATACATACATATCTTAAACTTCCTTAACTTAATGGCTTTGTCGGCTTGTGTGTTCACATTTCCGTCGCATTAAATGGTGAGTTATGATTTTAATTTGTCTTAAGTTAAAATAGAGTTGTTGTGGTTTAAATACGTGCGTTATTTATAAAGTAAGTTTATGAAAGCAGCAGCTACATATGTGTGTGTGTAAAACATTTATAGAATGTATTACTATCATTAAACAGTTTATTAAACCGGAGAAAAGCCCGGATTAATATTTAGGCCTGATGTTCACGTGCCTACCCTCAACCAAAATGAGGGGAGAACAGCAATAAAGAAGCATAGAAACCTCGAAGCCCATAGTTTTGTGGCTGAGCTGTTCAAAATTGGCGGGTGAATGTACGAATTTGGAGCGAAATTTGTTCTAGTGAATATATCACCCCAAAAGTGTACATAAACGCCAATTACCGCAGGATATACTTTCCCAACACTGCATAAAACAGCTTACTATGGTTCATCCTAGCTTATTTGTTTGTTAGTTTGTTGGGGTTATAGGCGCCAGTGAATAGAGTGATGGTGTCATGTGGGCTACTAAACAAGCTGGACATTTATAAGGTATGTGAGTGTAGAGTCTGGGTAAGTAGGAGTTTAGCCAGCTTTAATATCCAAACCTTAATAGCGCCAGCGTTACATGGGCCTATCGAGAGAGCTGAAGCTCTTCGTCTGTGTAACGAGCTCATTGAACTCAATGACGGCATTCTTGTGGCGAAAGTTCGTAAAGATGGTGTTTCTCTCTCGATTAATGTCGTTTATGGCCTGGCTGGACAACGTGGGGTACAGTGGTTGTGGGATGTGTATCTAGATCTCGTCCATGGGTTCGCAAAGATGTAAAGATGCCTTCTGACGTTGATTAGGAGCTGGCTGTACTTCCAGCAAGTGTTTGATCGCATCTTCAAGGTAGTAGTCACTGAGTAGAGAGAATTGGCCGCTGCCGCTGTCTGAGGTCCAGCGTTCTGACAGGCTTGTAGCTCGCCTGTTTTGTCTAGACAGAGTACTAACGACTCAGATAATTCGTCGTCCGCGGTTTAAGTCTTGTTGGAGTGAGAATGTTTCGATATCATCTGTTAGCGTGGTGTGACAAATGAATTTATATTTTAAGAATAATTTTGTAGAACCTTGAATGATTGACATTAGTGGCTAAGTATTTAATTGAGGAGGATGTTGGATACAAAAATCAGTATTTTTCATTCAAAGTTTTCGTGAAGGATGATACGTTTATAATTGAGCATATCGTTTTAAAGTGATTGAGTTTGAAGGGACTCTCTCTATAAGGATTTAGTTGCAGCTCAAAGGCTTAGCTCCAACCAGCTCCATAGTCATGACTGAGACGCTGAAGTAACTTGGAACTTTTCAGCTATCTGAACATACATATAGCGTAGATACGAGTACTATTTAAGCACATCTTTTTATTAGACAGAACATGGCACTTTTCCCCTGCATTTTATACCTGGCTGCTGAGAATAGAATGCCGTTTTTAAAATGAGAATGCAGAGACATGTAAATATGTTTAATAGGTTTGCCTGGTAGTTTGTCAAACGCTTAAGTATTAACAATCGGTCAATTAAGGATCTCCTGAAAATTGATGAAAAAATAAAATAATAATAAAATATAAAAATAGAATTATTTTAGTTAAGTTTTAGTTCGTATTTAGTCAAATTCGTTTTTTCTCTTTCCTAAGAGATATTTTGTGTAAATGAATGACGCCCTAAAACTAAATTTCCGCAACGACTTATCGTTATTGACAGTTGACGACAGATAGACAGCTTGTCAATTTGCGGTGACTATGCAGCTTTCGACGATAGAAATGCTGCAACTACCACGCAGTAAAAACGATTACATCTAAACCGAAAAAGTTTGCCACCAGGTTACCTTGTAGCTTACCTAGTTTAGTTTCATTATTTTTTCTGGTCTGTTAATGCATCAACACTAAAGAAAACAATCTACAGTTTTGCTCGTCCTTCGAGAAATAATCTCTTTGGAATTTTATAATTTTTTACTAATGTAATTTAAACCTACTCAACTCCTGCAAGCACTTTCGAGACCATCTTGCGTTTTTATTCTGATTGTGATACTTCGAAAAAAGTTGCTGCTAGTCGCGACATTAAAAGTTGTTCGCAATTGTCAAACTAATCAGCTTCAATATCACAAACTACTACGAATGTTTATTGACAGCTCTGGCTTTTCACTGCAGGGCATAGGTACATATGTGTGTATGTGTTGCAGAATTAAGGTAGGTGTGCTCTAGCATTATCACTGAAAGTATCCATCTTGTGCCACAAACACATAGATACACACAAAATACATACATACATATAAACTCATATGTATTTATTACCCTTTAAATACTCCATATCGTTTCTTATTGAAAATGTTGACATGCAAGCTATATATTGAAATAGGCGTCACATATGTATACATGTATGCACACTAGGGTGAGCTGGAAATCAGAGTTTTTAGAATTTTTATTGCAAAAATCCGCTATAAAAAATCCGTGCGAAATATGAAAATTTTGTATTAATATCTTAGGCTCACCAAATTCACTCAAAGTTAAAAGTGTTCAAAATTTTTTTTCTTAGCTTACTTCAATTGCAAACTTAATTCTCTAAAAAAAGGGCCTAATACAAATTATGCATGACTAACAGCTTCAATCATAATTGCAAAATGTTAGGTTTTGGACATCAATACAATATTTACAGATAAAAAACTATCGATAAGTTGCTCAGTTTACAAGAAATTTAATTTCCTACAAAAAGGACTATTTGCAATTAATAGTTTCTGAGATAATTGTGATTTTGTTTAGAAAGGCGGTATTTCTGTTCATGTTCGAAATTTTTATGAGTGAAAAATATTTAATAAATTACTAATTATTTTCGAAATAAAATTCCTCACAAAAAAGTTTTTTTTTTTTGGTGAAAACACATTTACATAATTTTTTGATTTTTGTTAACATCAAATTTTAAGTAGTATTATTTAAACCCTAATATATTGGTAAAGGCTTCAGACTAAAAATAATAATTATTTCGTTAATAAAATTTGCGATCGAAGTAAGTTACAAAAAATAATTGTTTGAACACTTGGAATTTGATTGACTTTGGCAAGCCTTATGAAAATTTTCATCTTTTGCAAATATTTTTTTTTTGGAACCATATTTTTGCTATTACCAATAAAAAGTCTAAAAGAATCGTATGTACGGCTTACCCTAATGTACACATGTAGTGATACCTTTTTACTATTATCTGCATTCACAGTATGCAGAATGTAATTGACAGCATCATTTCGACTGCAGCGAATTCCATTTTCTCCAATATTGATGAGCGGTTTTAAATTCGTGCTTGTGTGAAATAGTTTTGTAGTGAAATATGTTCGAATTTTTTAAACTACTATACATACGTAGAGTTCTAAGTTGGTTGTCTGATTTCGTCGTGGCGTCCGTAGAACATAGACCTGAATCCAATCAGTGCTTAAGAGAGTGCCTGAAATTTTCATCTATTTCTGTTATCTTCGAACTATCTTTAGACACCTACTACAAGTCAAGTGGCCGGAATACGCCAAAGTTGGGCCTTCACAGAACTTCCTTCGTAGTAGCTTATAGAGATAATGATAGCTTTTCATAATGTCAAATGAACAAGAAATGTAGTCAGTCTGTTTCTTTTTTCAAGTTCAAGAAGCTTGTCAAAATTACGACTATGACCAAATTGCTCTCTGAGTTTGATATGCGCGTTTGTTGGATATGAGTTAAAACCTCGTGTAACTCCTGCATAGGCTGCTTGTTGATAAATACTCAATATCTTGACGTTTAATCCCGTTCGACGTATTATTTGGAGCTCAATATGTTAGGATACGTCTAATTATGCTCTTTTATATTTATAAACACGACAAGCTTTGTATGCCTTCCCAACGCGCTTTCCAACAAGGCATTTTCAGCTAAGCTTACTAATTGAGAGTATGATCTATCTCCCCACTGAAACAGTGCCGACTTTAATGCCATTCAGAGCTATGGTTCCCATGTTCGGTAAGTTTCGTCTTCTTGTGAATGCAATGATGGGTGCTTTTATTGGGTTTAAGTTGACATCCAAATCCGCACATCTCTTCGTGGATATCCTTAGTGCCCATTGGATTTATCGACAGAGGGTGTACTTGTACTTCCCGATTGGCATTACGACTATGTCGTCCACCGTAGACTTGGCACCGGATACTATTGTCTGATAGCGTTTGTAGTAGTTCATCAACAACTAGGCTCCAAAGAAGTGACGATAAATACTCCCATTCTAGTGGACATCCTTTCAAAGGTTTTTTGCTGCATGGAATGTTCCTTATTGTAGACTCTGCTATTCTTGTGCGTAACAGCGATTCTATTCAGCTGCGGATAGGTGCCTCTTCTCGATAATGCCAGATATGGCACCTTCTGTAGCCTTTGGAAAGCTTCCTGTCCTGTAAGCTTGTTGTTGATGTAGGGGCTAGGACTAGACTGTTCTTTATTATCTCTACTAGGTGCGAGGTAGCCATGTAGTTCCTCCCTTTGTTGTAATAAATCTGGATAAATTCCATCTCTCTAACACTTAAGTGTTGTTCCAACAACAGTAATGAATTTCTCAAACATTTACATGGCTGTAAGTTTAGGATAGTAAATATATATACGTATTTCAAATTCCCTCATTATTTATATCATAAACATTATTATGATCTCATAGAAGGGGAAACTGCATAAAAGTAAGCCTACACAAAATAAAATCTCGTTGGCGCCAATGGCTCCCCTTTTTGTAGGTCAATATTCATTGACCTGCTAAAGCCAATATATCACGCAACAGCAAAGCTGCTACCAAAAAAAAAAAAAATAAATAAATGAATATACTTATGTAATACATGCGTATGCATAAATGTACATATATATGCAAGCAAGTGTGTAGATACATACATATGTGTATGGGTATGAATACAAATGAAAAAAAAAATATTAAATTTCCAACATGCCTTTGTGCATATTTTCTTATGTTTGTTAAGTGACTTGGGTGCCTTCTTCGCATACTTGCAGCCAGA